GCCTCAGTGGCAGCGGCCTCGGTCTCACCCTCCTTGGGCTCGGGAACAGCCTCGACAGTGACAGGCTTCTTCTCCTCCTTCTTGCCGAAGCCAAGGTTGCCGAAGATCGAAGTGCGCTTGCGGCTAGCAGAGCGGCGCTTGGATCCCTCCTCCTTGGCATCCTCCTTCTTAGCCTCCTCCTTGACGATGGGCTCGGTAGTAGCGACCTCCTCAGTGGCAGCAGGGGTCTCCTCAGTGGTAGGACCCTCAGCAGTAGCCTCAGTGGCGGGCTCAACGGCGGCAGCGGCCTCGGGGGCCTTCTCCTCCTTCTTCACAGCAGCAGGGTTGAGAGTCTCAATGGTCTTCTTGTAGGTCTCGCTCTCGACAACGGTGTTGGCAAGCTCCTTGGCCTCGGCGATCTTGGCCTTGAGCTGGTTAACCCAGTTGTCGCGCTCGGCAGTGTTGGAAGCCTTGAAGGCGTGCTTGTGGCCCTTGGCAGTGAAGTGGAACTTGGTAGGACCGTCGGTGGCGGGCTCAGAAGCATCGGCCTGCAAAGTAGCGGTTAGCAAAATGTAAAGCGGCTTGAGCGCATAGATGAAGGTATACTTACGAGGTGGATGGCGCCGTGGGGAGCGGCCTTGTCAGCCTTCTCGCTGAAGAAGAGGAGACCCTTGCCGGTCTCGGCAGCCCAAGCGGTGACGTGGTGCGCAACATCGGCGGCCTTGTCAGCCTTGAAGGTGCTAATGGACTTCAGATCGACGGGTTCGCTTCCGAACCAGAAGAATCTCTTGGAGAAGAGAAGGTTCCTAGCGGTGATAGTGTTAGTTTTGCGACTCTCTCTATCAGGCGCGTTCCTGGGGTTATCCTACTTGGGGAAGTTGGCGGGCTGGCCCTTGTGCTCGAGGTGACCCTCCTCAACGGGCTTGACCTCCTCCTCCTCCTTCTTGGCCTCCTCAGCAACAGCGGGGGTGGCCTCGGCCTCAGTAGCCTCAGTAGTGGCGGCGGCAGCAGGCGCAGTCTCGGCGTCGGCGATAACAACAGGGGCCTCGGTGACGGGAACAACCTCGAGGGGCTTGATCTCGGCGGGGACGTCGGCAGTGGTGACAGGTTGAGTCTCCTGGGGGAGCTCAACGTTCTTCTGTTCGTCGGACATTTTGAATATGGTGAAATAGGGATGGGTATCTGGAAAAAAAAGGAAGAAAAACACAAAGGGGTATTGGGTATCACTGAAGAAAAGACAGCAAGAAAAGGCAGAGAGCGTGCGCTTGGGGGGGTATTATTACGCGACGGTGCTCTGACACGAGGTGGTGGATGTGTGGGAAGCACAAAAAAAATCTCTGAAGGGAGAAGTTGTGATGGCGGGAGGGAAAAGAGAAGGGAAGGGAAGCAGGAGGAAAGCGCGTGATGACCCCTGGGGTACTTAAGTTTATTGATGCCCTGGTCAGAATGGGCAATGGGTGGCCTGGCCTAGCAGCTCCCCTAGCAGGCAAAAAAGTCTGGGCGCACTAACAACCTTGGTACCTCAACCGTCTCCTACCGTCTGGTTCTGTGACTTGTGCAGCGACTCGTCCCGGGTTGCCATGTCAGGACCACACAAAGAAGGGCACGGGAGGTTGGCTTCAAGGTTCTCGCTTCCACTTCCACTTCCACTCTCCCACAAGGTCCCCTCGCCCCCCTCGTCGTTGAGGTTCGTGGGAAAGAAAACGGCGGTAGGACTTGCTGGTGATCTGCGCTCTCCAAAAAGCCGGCCTGTGACTGGTCGACTGCTTCTCCCTTCACGTCCCGTCACCACCCCTCGCTCACAATGAATCCCCTTCTCTTCTGGACAACGTTCCGTCGTCCCATCTTCCGTTGCCGTTTCGCTTGCTGCAGGGTCTGAAACGGAACATGAAGCTGCTTTGTGTAGCGGCAGCTGGCCGGCAGTCGATGCCAAGAAGCCCCTAGTCCCAACTTTTGAAGCTGTCAGAACTGCCTGAGCTGCCTCAGCTATGCGAGGTAGGTATTGGTGCGAAGAGAATGAATGCCTGCTTTAACGGAGATGAGAGATGTCCTATGTTCATGGATGACCCAAACTGGTCCGTTTTTCTCAAGCAGCGTTTTCCCTGCCTAGCAGCTACCCCGACAGGGATGATAATGTGTGATTTTTGCATGCGCTCTGGCCTGCAATCCTTTCTCTCATAGGGCGCCGCTGATTGGTTGTTGTGCCAGCCAGGGTCTCGTTCGCTAAACCAACGATACCTGGCAGGAAAGTACCGGCATTCTTGCTTTCTGCAGGTCAATTTCCCCCTTTCCAACAACCTTGCCAAAGGGCGTTGATTGCCCTACGAGAATCCTACGAGAATGGTACCTGCCGATGAGCGTGCATATAGAAGCCGTTAGCGCCAGGAGACCCCTTAGCGTCTGGTAGCTTAATTAGACCCCCTATCCCCGTGCTCCTCCTCCGTCGATCACGCTATGGAGACGGTGGAGCACGGCGCTTCTTCATCAAACGTACCACTTCGCTGTGTGCTTTTTGCCTATGTTACCTAATCTTTTTCCCTTGTGATTTTTCCATGGTCTCGCACTTTCTTTCGCTCGTCTCGTGTGTCTGTTGTACATATTCGCCGCCGCAGATAGTTTGGGTGCGATAATGGCGACTTGCGATCGAGGCTCCCAACAGCGCAGGCAGGTGGCCAACCAGATGTTGTTTACCCTGGTGTTGTTCCCCCCTGCATCATGTATTGACTGACATGGAACTTTGAAAGCTTGCCCAATCCAACACCACCCATTATAAATCCGTATAAGGTTTAGATCCCTTCTCGACCCTTCAGCACTCCACGAGTCCACTGTTTTCTCCTGTCTCTCAGTCTCGTCCTCTCCACAACGAAGAGAACGCAAGACCAAAACGAAATACTCTCTGGTTGAGTTCTTCTTGGATTGGCGCTGACCTGGGCAGCTGGCAGGACAAAGCGAGCAAAGGGGGATCCACATCTGAAATTTCCAGGCTTGGCCCATTTTCATGTCCAATCAACCTTTGCTCGTCGAGACTCCACTGTGACTGGAACGGTGCTGGCGACTGCTGCGCTGCAATTGAATCGAAATGCCATCGTTGAACCGTTCAGATGAGAATGGTACTGTAGAATTGCTTGACGTGTTGATTGCAATCAGTGGAAGCGCCTGTTTGCGGCGGTGGAGGAGAATGCGACAGAGCGGCGTAAATTATCGACATCACAACGATGTTGGTCACCTCTGTTTTCCAATGGCCCAGTTGAAAGGAGTCATCATCCCTTCTTTTGCTGACATTTTGACCGTTCTCAACACGGCGGCGCATTGATCTTTCGGGATGAAGACCCCGGTTACCAAAAAAGTAACCATGGCGGGAAAACCACATGCGCTTTGACGGCGGGCAAGATGACAACCTTACCTTGCCGGAACCCGCTCGGAAACGAGCTGAATGAAAAGTTAAAAATCCATATGGAAAAGGCACTTCCACGAGATATAAAATAGTAACCTCCTCGCATGTTCGCGACTTGTGCAAACTTTTTCTTCCCTTTTTTTCAAGAAAAAAGTTGTTGGCCCTCCAGTCAGGAACTGGACAAGCTTGGGCTCAGAAGATGCTAGTGCGGCCCCGGCAAGTCACCATTTGGGTATCCCTTACCTCTACTTTCAGGAGCGCGATGTAACGGCACCTTTGGGACGCCGTCGAGAACTGCTCTTTGCGAG